CCTCACAAGGTCAGGAGGCTTCATACATCGATTCCTAATCCGTCACATAGTGTTCTCCTTATCCTTTGATAATCCTGTATGTCCCTGTGCCACGCAGTCCCCAGTGATGGAGAGCTGATTTCAGAATCACATTGTTATCCTAAACCAGCACTCAAAACACTACTGAAGATAAGTGGCTGATTTACAAACAGACCGTGGCTATCCAGAATCCCCACCACTGCTATGGCACTGAGAGTGGCCAAGGCAGAAGGTGTAGAACTTCATGGCAATTAAGAAGAGTGCAAGCAAGGAGGTCCTTCTGACTATCACTCCAAAGCACTGCTGTATCACAGTCGCACCTTGTCATGTAGCTCAGTGCATCAGACACGTGTCCTGACACAAATCTGCACTGCTTCTGGAAAGCTAGGAAAAACACCTGCAGAAAGTTTGAGAGTTACTGCTCTAGTAACTTTCTTCAATTCTCAAGGCTCATGTCTTCCAAACCTATGGCCATTCATTCTGCTCTTCTCTGGATGCTTCCAACGGGCCCCAAGAGTGCTGTTCAGAACAGAAATAGTACACCAGCCACACAAATGGCAAGCAGAGTGGAAAATTGTTTTGCATACAGACTCCTGTCCATATATTCTAGCATAACATTCATGGCATAGTATTGTTGATTCATAGCCACTTTCAGAACTCTTGCAACTGCCCATCTGTTTTCCGCAGACCTGGTGTCTCACCAGTTACTCTACATTTTGATTTGCACAGTTGATTATTCCTGCCCAACCACAACTCAGAACTTGTCCTTGATGAACTGCATCATATTTATTTTAGATAAATTCTTCAATATATTACATTATTTTGAAGTCTAATCCTGTGCTCAGAGGGTTTACATCCTCTCCCTGGTTGGTGTCATCTGGAAATTTTGCATGCAGATTCTATCATCTATCATTAATTAAAATATTGAATATTTTCAGGCAATCTAGGGAAGAATCCCACTTGACAGATCCTTCTAGTTTGACTATGAATCACTAGAAATTATTCTGAGAACAGCTTTCCAGCCAACTGTGTACCCACCTTGTAGCCCATATTGCTACCTTGCTTATGAAAGTGCGAAAAGACTTTCAAAAATCCAGATATACTATTTTCTACTTACAGGAAAATTAGGCTCCACTGACAAGGTACCTTCTGGGAAAAAAAAAACAAACAAGCAAATTCATTTCTCATATTATTATCTACAGGCTATTTATTAAAAAAAAAAAAATCTGTTGACTATTTGATTCAAACCTTTTTCCCCAAAATTTCAGATAAGCTAGCTACTCCAAAGAGGACAGCAAAGGACCCAGAAATGTTCACATGTAGGTGCAGTGTGTGCCCTTTCACAGATTTTCGAACCTAAACTGTCCTCCAAATAATCTCCAGTGTAGCTACTAATTGCTCAGACATTGCTTCAGCTATTTCACCCTACACTGCAGAGATAATTTAATAAGCTCCAGCTTGTTCTAAAATACTTACTATCCTATCTCACTAGTTTATAACCTGTTCTTTTCCTGCTATAGTTGGAATTCTTACCTTTTTCAAGGTGGCAGTTATTTTCTTGCCACTTGATTACAGGTCACTCTTTTTGGCAAAGAATGATGCAAAACATTACATGAACTCTCGGTTTTCTCTGCACCATGAGATCATGAGTTTTGTCATTCCCTCTCAGCTAGTAGTCCAGAAACTCAGACTTCCTCTTATTACTACTTAAAACGTAGTACGTTTCTTTGTTACCATGCCCTTTATTAGTTGTAGTTTGCTCTGCGAGTTGGCCTACCTGATTTGGCCCTGGCATTTTTCTAATCTTCTTTTACACTCATCTCTAGTAGCATGTCTAATTTTCACTTTCTATATGAGTCCTCAATTTTCAGATCATACAATTTTGTCTCCTCTTACACTTTTTTACTGGGATACCTTTTATTTGTGCTTTTAATATTCTTTATTATGACTGGAAAAGAAAAAGTTAATTCCTTTAAAAATTGCCAGAATTTCCTAGGTTTGTTTCCCAAAAAACTTCACCTATTAGTTCTATGAGCTGAATGCAATCTATTTCCTTGCATACTATTCCTTTTATTCTCAAGTTCTCCCTTTTACCCTTCTGAAGAATGATAAGCTTGCCCTTTCATGATTGCTATCACTCAAATTGCCTTTTACCATCACAGGCTCAGCCATCTCTTTCCTAATCAAGCCTAGGAGCACTTCCCTTCCATTGCTTTTTCTACACTGGGTAATCCTGAACCTATTATACTTGCATGGCCTCCTGAATTTAGTATTTAGCCAGCAAAGTGAAAAGGTTCTAACCAAACGCTATCGTTAGGTAATACATGATAAAACGACTGGATGAGCCCATCTCTTGGGACAAGAGCCATCTGCAAAAAAGGGCAGCTTTGGCATCTGTGCCAGTAAAATGAGCATATAGACAGGATCAAAATATCTCCTAGCCATAACTGTAAGCCTTTCCAGGTCACAGCAATTAGCAAAGTGGAAAGGAGATTTATTAAATACTCCTAAGGTGGCTACACAGAGGCACTGTCATCCCAGGCTTCTTTTGCCAGCACTCTGGTCAGCTGTAAATTGAAATGATTACTCTGATTGTTGAAATAGTTGCTATCACTTAGCATGGCTAGATTCAGTGTTGACACCGCACAAGTTTCAGATATCAAAGCTTTTCTGTATAAATTAGCTCCCTTCAACATGTGGTCATGCCTCCTCTGCCGCTAGCAGCTATTATTCTCTCCTACAGCTGCATTCCAATAAAACAAAAGGAGCACTATAGCAAGGATCAGAGGAGCAACCATATGCACCTGCCACTGCATTTTTATCGCAACTCTAAAGTTAGCATAACACTGTCCAATGAATTTCTCTAAGAAATACATACCTAGCCACTGTTTATTGCTGAATACATCATATAAATCTAACCAGGAACAAGAAAGATCTCCAAAAAGCAAATATGGATATCAGTTTGATACAAGTTGGAACTTTTCTCCTCATATAAAGAAACTGTATTTCAACCTGTTTCCTTTACAAGTCTCCTGAATGTATGGTGCTATTTAATGTTTAAGAATTCTTTAGTATAGCTGCCAAGATTTTAATATGTATATTAACATCTTTACCTGAGGGCAATTGCAAAGGAATAACAAGAATTCCTTATGGGAGACCAAGCAACCTTCATGCTACTAAGTCTCCAGAATAGGTCCGAATCTGCTGGATTGTCACCACAATCTGACTATTCAGGGACCCTAGTTTCATCTCCATGAACTTTACGCAGCACTATTTTCCAGGTCTTTACCATCCACCAGCAGTCATGAGGTTACAAATCTTTCTGACACCTTGCTGCCCAAGCACCCTAGTCACAATGCCAACAACTCCTAACTTCTGGGAGCTAAGGGATAGCAAACATTGTGTCAGAAGAGCGCAAAGCTGGAGAGAAAATAATCTGATATTGCAAGGGTGCTAGAAATAATAGGGTTTTCAGCAAAGCAGACAGCCAGGGTAAGGAAGAGAACAGATATCCACACAGTAGGAATTTCGGTACAGAGCAAAGGAGTGACAAAAACTCTTAGGAATGAGCTGAGGGCTCTGAGGGCAGAGAGCAGCAAAGACAAACAGAACCAGAATGGCAGTGGGCAGCTTGAGGAGTGTGCTGCTAGCTAGACAGAGGTAGGAGGGCCCTGAAGTGATCCCAGACTTCACATGTCCCATCAGCACTGGAGCACATGTGGAAAAAAGCTTCCTGCTTCCTCTCCTTCAGGACACATCTCACTGACACACACAGAAACCACGCTGTAAATCAAAGCAATGCAAAGCAACAGAGACAGTTCAGAACTGCACTACTGCTCCAAACCAATGTGCTGGTGTGCACAGCTGGACACAGAGTCGCACCCACTGCAGCCAGAAGGATGAGACCAGCCTCTGAGGGAGGATCTGCTTTGCGAGATAACAAAGTAGGAGCCTGCCCACATGGAAATAAAGAGTTTTGGGGGTCCTTCCTCGGGAGAGCTCCTAGAACAGCAAGCAGCCCAAGACAGAAAATGATCTTCCCATACATACAACCCAGAATCTAAAAAACTTCTTCTAAAGGCAAAAATTTTAAATTAGAAAAAAAAAATGTCTTGCACATCACTAATTTTCACTGTGGTACTAATCCAGTATCTAGACCTACTAAAACAAGTTGATCCAGTTGATTTTCTATGCATTTCTCCCAGCATCTCAGCTGGCCAGCAGACGTGGAAGTAAAGCAGCAGAATCTTCTGATCCTCTTCTCCTCCTCCCACATCTCAAATCAGAAACCATCTCAAACTGTTAAAGCACTGAATGAACTCCAGTAGACTTTACACTAGAGGGAGCTTTCCTCAGAAGGACACATCACCTTGGCATCCTCTTTCTCATTACATTATTTTCAATACATCTACAGGGAAATACACCAGATTCAGTTGAAATAGTTATCATTTGAACCCTCCAGTTTTGCCAGTTCAAGCATTGCAGTAGGTCAATGGTGTGGGGCAGGAGGGAGTACAAGGACAGGGTACCTGGTAAGTTCTGCCCAGAGATGTGTTCTGGCTGACAAGATAAAGCTCAGCACTGACATGTTACTGAGAAGCCTCCGGATATGAACCATGTCCATCCTGCAGCCCCACCAAACTCCCGTGTTGAGCTCAAGAGCAACTTTATAGATTACATTTTATATTGACTCAAGAGACCACTCAGAGTTAAGCTGTTAATGAGTACTTTAATGAGGAAAGCTGAGTTAAACCTTCCCTAAGGCTTGTGGCCATCCATTTCAGAAGGCTGAAACCTAGATAACTGTGTTCCTCACCGCTAATACAAATGTTGAACTGGTCTTCAAGTGAATTGTTTTAAAATATTATTTAAACCGAAAGTACTACAAGATGTTAGCAACAGTCAGGACTTATTCAATTTATTTTCTGAACTCCAGTATACTGTCCCAAAACTGTAAGCTGAACTAGAACAGAAATCCTTACCTGTGAAAGCATTTGTGGCCTGAAAACCAGCTTCCTGCATACTGCTCTCCCAGCGAAGCTTGAGATTCCCGTCTCAACCTGTCCTTACTGGAGACAACTGCTGAGCTTGTTGCTGTCAAGTCACTTCCATCTTAGCTCGTCAGAGTCCATTTCTCTTTCCATTTCCATATTTGGCACCATCCAGTTACCACCTGATCCCAGGTCTTTCGATCTGTACACAGAAGGGATCTGCACTGAACCTAAATAGGAAGCGTTGGACAGTTCCATCAACCAGCCAGCCAGAGGATCTGTGCCATGATGAATGTGAAAATGAAGCAAATTGCCTCTCAAGACTTTCTTTCTCTTTTACAATTAAGTTCTTATCCTGTGTTCATCCAGCAACATTTTTTCAGGTCTCGGCCAATGGTGATGTTCAATTGTCTCTCCTCTCTTGTGCTCCTCTCCCCTCAGGCACACTCACTGAGAAATTAAAAAAGAAGAGATTATGTTTCCTGATGACCTGTAGCAACACTAAAATTAACAGACTCCAGGGAACAAAAACCCAAAATACATTATCAGGGATTGATTGTACACATTAAAGGAGATCTTCAGAAGGCAAATCTTGCGATTTTGCTGAGATGCAAAGTGTGACCACACAGCTCTTTGAAGTGCAAAGAGGAACAGTGCTGAGGGTGTCATATGCATCTCTGAGAACATGATATGATTTACATTTCAAAAGCCATATTTAGCAGAGATGGGGGCAGCAATACAATAACAAAATTGCAGTTAAAAGGGAAAAGGAAAAATACTAAAGGCTCTCAAGTCTAGTCTATTCAAAATCTCAGTGAAATTATTAGCATTTCATGGAGCTGCTTCCCTCCTTTTCTGGAGCAGGAAAAAAGAATGCTGTGTGTCAACACTATATATGCCGTTCTTACAGTCTTCTGTGGTTAAAAACCTTTGTCTGTCTTGCTGTGGTTTATCAAACTTTTTATGTCTTGCTGGTGCTTATCTATTTAAAATCTCAGTTGTAAAACAGATGACGCAATTCAGATGCCTTCAGACATTTGGTAAGGCTAAAAACACCCACAGGCTACACAACAGAAAGGTGGTTACGTTTTTCTTGATACTGCTGCTTCTGCACAGCATGGATACCTGCAGCTCACTGAAACCTACGGTTGTTCCACAACCAGTTTTTAAAAACCAGGATACAATTAGTCTCATGGGGTGAAGGCAAACAGCAGATAGGCACATGTTTAGGGAGAAAATTATTTTAGAAAACAAATAAGAAAGAAAAGAGGACTTGGAGGAGAACCCGCTCACTCCCCAGACATCCTGTTCCCTCACATAATGATGCCTGGCTCGCTATCTCCCAACTCAGTGGCACAGTCAGGTTGAAACTACATCTGTGATGATCTTATGACCTACTAATGGATTTTAGATAAAAGTCCAGCCAGGGCTTGCAGTGCCGGATTGGACTCAAGGTCCCCCAGCTGGAACAGCCCACATCAGAGTATGCCAGTGTCACTGCCAGTCCCAGCACCCGCTGCTTCAGAGAACAGTGCAAGACGCAGCTCAGCGGGCAGGTGTGAATAACCCACCACTTGCTACCCAGCCACTTCACCCTTTACCCTGACCTGCAAGATCTAGAGACTATCTTATACCCGAAGCTAAGTCTGAATATCCCAGATGGTCCATAACTGCAGAGAGGATTCGCATGCTCCTTGGGGTACAGTCAGCCGGCCCTCAAGGGCTTCATTAGGAATCTGCCTTTGGGGGAAAAAAGGATCTCTTCTCAAGTGTGCCACTGAAGCCAAGTGAGCCTGACACCTGATGAATGTCATTTTCCTCGGAACACCGTGAATGAAAGCTAGCTGCTATCAAAGACGAATCTTAATGATGTTGCTGCCTTTTTTTTCTCCTCAAATTTTGTTATGCCAGTATTACTGAAGAACACGCGTTTTTGTCTCAAAACACAGCACAGGAATGACTGATTAGTTACTTGTATTCAAATCTAGCAATTTGCATTCAAATCAAATGAGGTTACAGAACAGATTTAAGATGTTTTCCCAATTTCTTACCCAAACATCTCAACCTAATAGAGAAGAAAGTGGAAATTAAGAAGGAGAAAATAAAAAAAAAAAGCCTTTACATGTAGTATCTTCTATCAAAAAAAAAACTGCAAAAAAATTTTAGAATACTGCTTAAAATGCCATTATTCCTGAATGTTATGTAGGTCCTTGAGATGCTTTTTCAACCCTTTGAAGTGCTGTATGCAACTAATAACCATTTCATATGAGGTTATTTTATTCTAAAATACATACAATTGAGCAAGTATAATAAACATACACAGCAGCACATATTTCTTTTGAGTCTTAACATTGTGCTAACTGTTCTGTAATGACTACAGATGGATGCTGCACTCATTTCCCAAGCTTTTCTCTAGAGGCCCGAGTTTCTTCTATATTTATAAGAGCAGGTCGATATTTGCATTCACATTTCCAGTCTTGTAACTTCTGATTTTGGTTTACAAATCCACAATTTTGATGCCTTCTATTTTCAACATTATCATCTCCCCATCTTAGAGATGCTCACAAGACGTGCACTAACACCTTAGCATCCAGGGAAATTCTCCTATTGTTACACCTCTGCAGTAGATATAATAAATCCTGATTCTTAGAAGAGTAAAATATTTCCTGAAAATTAACATTTTATTAAAAGAATAATTATTTTCCACATCTTCAACTGTTCTGCTGAACTAGTTAAGAACCCAATAGTGCTGAAGAAACTCTATGACACTTATTTCAGTAACCACTGCTTCTTCAGACAGAAAGATGTAATTTTAATAACATTACAGGACACAGAAACACTTACAGAGTTCATTCAGACCTGAACATTTAAAAGATAGTGCACTGCATCAGGTTTAAGTCCTCCCTTAAGGACTCAAGTGAAATTAGATACTGATATCTCTTGATTGCCCTAAGTGATCATTTTCTATCACTGCAAAAGCACTCTTCTCCTCTGGCAGATAATGAACTCAGAGGTGGCTGGCAGGATGTAAGGAACTGGAGCTTGTTGGGCCTCATCACAACTCAAAACCAAGTTCAGTACTTATAAAAAAATTCATATTTACAGCCATGTAGGCTATTTAATGATAATTTTCATTATGCAGACTTTAATCAGTCCCATTTGCACAACAATTTCAAGTTTCTCAGATTACAAATGCATTCAGACGACAAAGTAGCCCAGCCCATACCACAGCAAATCAGGAAAACAGCAAATTCAGCATGTAGAGCTATGACCTTTCTATTGTACTTCACATTATGCAGAAATTTTCCATTAAAGCTGAGCTTATGTTTAAAGGGAGGAAGTTTGTGTTTGTTTCCTAACAGACTGGCATGTTTGTATGCACGGAATGGGTCAGGACCTCTGCTGACACATTTCAGTGTGGCTCAGCCAGCTCCAGTGAAGTTATGTGTTTATCCTTTTATACTAGCGTGGTGCAAAAATGCTAAACCAACTTGCTTAAAGGGTCGAAAAGTGAAAATGTGTATCTGAAAAAGAGAGCAGAAAATAAACAGTACTGGTAGAACTATAATAAGGTGTGATCTTTGATATCACTTTTATTTTTCACAACCTGCAGAGAACCCAGTGAGAACACATCCCATTATACTGATTAGATGGCAAGACAAAATGAGGACTAGAAAGACCAGAGATTTTCACTTTGCTCCATCTGTTGCCTCCTTTCCAATTGCAACAGGAACTCTGCTTCCACTTCTGCTTTTATTCATCCACTGCAGTGTTATATGAGTCTCAGAAGCAAACCAAAGCAAGTCATTGTGTTGTATCAATATGTAGTTGTGCTATAAAGATTTTCAGCTATTATGCACTTACATGATGGAATACCTAGAGAAAAATCAAATCCATTTGTTTTCATCCTCTCCACTTTTCTCAGATTTGGTCCTGGGAAAGACACCAGCATCTGAACCTCACATAAATTGCAAACAGCAAATATTTTGACTATTTAACACCTTATGTGACCATACTCTCATGGTATATTTAGCTAGTAAACCTGTTATTTCTCTTTTCTAAACATATGAAGATGCAGCATTAATAAAGGGTCACTGTAAAAAAGAATCTGAGAGAGCAAAGTAAGCAAAGAGTACAATTAAATCCTGTGTTAATATCTGCATTTTATGAAGTATTGTGCAATCATCAGCCAGGACCAAGCCTGGAGGAACTTGTACTGAAAGAAGAAGTGAAATACTGCTTTTTCCAATAGTGATATTTCTGTAATGCCTTGAAAAACTCAAAAGCACTGGCTGACATGCAAATGCTACAGACTGGGGGTTTTTCCATTTCCTTTCTCTATATACAGTCTGTTTCTCTGGCCACATGCTTTTGGTTCTCACACAGGCATTAAGAACTCATCGGATGTGCTGCCAGAGGGGCTACAGCCATGGGAAGCATTCCCTGTGATAGCCCTTGGCATCCTTTAGGATGCTAAAGTACAGTATTTCACTAAGGTGTATAACACATTTCCTAACAGGACTACCTGTAGAGTAAGCCCACACATTAACATTTTTGAGAAAGTTACTGAACAGCTTGTGAGTAGTGGTTTAATTTCATTTAATCAAGGGAGGACTTGTGCTTGAATTTCTGGCTTTCAGGTGAAAGAAGTGTAAAAGGGGAGAGAGCTTGAGTTACCCTGCCCTGCTCTCACTGTGGTTGCTGCAGAAGGCAGGTGCCAACAAGGGCAGACCCCAGTGGGAGGTTGGATGCTACCGGCACCGACCCTCTCCATGGATGAAAGGAGGACAGAAGCAAGGCGGGTTGAGCTGGCAGCATGACTCCAGCTCAACGGGAGATTTAAGCATGTCTCCAAATTCAAGGAAATAAGTCATCTCATTGAAGCCCAGACAAGTACTGAACTATTCACATGCTTAAACACTTAGCTGAAGTAATGTCTATACTTCCTATATGTTAAGGCAGCATCGACTTGGATATATCTTTAAGGTATCTTTTCTGGCTGGAAAAACACTTGCAATATTTTGTTGTTACAAAACTGGGTTTTTAAAAATACATTTTAAAGTTTGCTAAAGCAATTTAAAATGTAGCACTTGTGCACACATATAGCTCACCTCTCCAACTCCTTTTGTACTTACCAAGTTTTCCAGGCCTTGGTTTTGCTTCTCATAGAGATTTTAAACTAGATATATTAATATCTACCAATCATACCTAATCTTTTTCAGTGGTAAGGCCTGCATTTTACTGTGTGATCCTTATTTATTTTATTTACTTCTATAATTTGTCTTTCTTCCAAGATAGCATTGCATTAGTGCTAAGTGAACCCTGGTTCTTGAGAAATCCATAACTCAAAGACCACTTAAAAAACTCAAGGTGACTTCCACAGGAGACCATACACAAATCAAACAGAAAAACAGATGTTCAAAATATGTTTATGTAATTGCATCTTTTTC